ACGAAACTGGTACCTGCTCGATAGTGTTTTGAATAATGCTCACCATGTCTTTTTCTAGGGATATCGCTGCCACAACGTACTCCTCTTCTTGCTGCTTAGAACGGTCGATGAGTCTTGACAGCATGTCGGCACATCCGAAGTCGTTGGTAGACACGTGCCGAATGTCGAAGTCGTAGTTGAGAAGCATCAATGCCCATCGTTGAAGTCGATTTGCGGTGTGCAAAGGAATGCCCTTCTTCGATCCAAAGATTGATAACAGAGGTTTGTGATCCGTGAGCAGAGTGAATCTGCTCCCAAGGAGGTACTTGTGAAACTCCGTTACCGGCTGCCCGTAACCTTTCTCCGCTGGAGTGAGGGATCTTGATGCGTACTGGATTGCCTTCCCTAATAAAAAATAACCATAAACGAACGATAACCCAAATCATTGAACTATTCCACAAATGGTTTGGATGATACCCAGAACACGTCGTTAAGCAAATTAACCATACAATTTTTATTAGGGTTCAGATGTCCATTCGAAAATTCATGGAAGATGACTGCACCGATGCCCGTGCTGGAGGCGTCCGCTGCTACGATGATTGGTAACTTCGGGTCGTAATGCGTCAACAATATATCGGACTGCAGGACTTGCTTGAATTGCTCAAAAGACCGTTGGCAATCGGAATTCCACTGCCACTTCGAATCCTTCTTGAGTAATTGGTCGAGAGGATGACGAAGTTCATGGATGTTGTGCACGAATCTGCCGTAGAAATTAGCGGCTCCCAGGAACGATCGCACTTCGGAAACATTGGTGGGTGCCGGAATAGAGGCGATGGCTTGAAGCTTCTCTGGATCCGGACGGATGCCGTTTCGATCGACGATATGCCCCAAATATCTGATTTCGGTTTGGAAGAAATGGCACTTTTCCAGCTTGACATGGAACCCATTTTCCCTTAGACGTTGTAATAGCTTGTCTAGTGACGCCTTGTGTTCCTCCCAGGTTCTTCCGAAGATGATAGCGTCGTCGAGAAACGACTGAACACCAGGAATGTCGGCTTTAATGCTGTCAACCAGACTTTGGAATGTTCCAGGTGCTGACTTCACCCCTGGAGCGAGCCGGTTGAATTGGAAGAGGCCTCGATGCGTGTTTATGGTGAGGAGCTTCTTCGATTCTTCATCTACTTCCACTTGCAGGTATGCATCGGAAAGGTTGATGATGCTGAATATGGTGCTTTCGTTGAGCTGTGCGAAGATCTCCTCCGGGGTAGGTAGAGGATAGTGGTTTGCTACAAGCGCTTCATTGAGTCCCGTGGAGTAGTCCGCACAGATGCGAACTTTACCATTCGGCTTGCGTACTGCTACAATCGCAGCGGCCCACTCTGAGAAATCGATTCCCAGAGACTGAAGACGTGTTAATTCTGCATCCACCAGCGGAATCGTGTTGAACGGAACTGGTCGCTTTGAACAGAAAACAGGTTTGACGTTAGGTTTGAGGAATAACTTTACCTTGGTTTTCTTGCAGTGGCCCAGCGAGTCGTCGAAAACCGCCGGATGCTCGGCTTGCAACTGTACTCTAGCTTCGGCGAAACATGGTCTGGATACAGCAGAAACTTGATTGCAGAGAGTATCGAACGGAACCGACCACAGGTTGAACATGTCAATCCAATCAATACCCATTACGTTGAGATCTGGTGATGACGTTACGAAACACTGACCACGCTTGACCATGTCATTGAGGCCTGCTTCACAATGTAATTCTCCGATGAGAGCGAGTGGTCCACCAGATGCGTTGGAGGCTTCGATCGATGATGGAGTTAGCTTTGGTCGTCTCAGTTGCTGCCAAGTTTTCTTGGAAATCACCGTGATATCACTTGCAGAATCCAGTTGTAGCGAAGTCATGACACCGTTGATGTTGATGGTCACATACTTGCGTTTCCGGTTGCTGTTTGCGATGTGCTTCACGAAAATTCCCTTGGCTTGAGATCTGGGACCGGCCTTCTTCTGGAACTGCTTCTTCTCTCGAGGTTGAGTTGAAGAGTCGCTTGAAGAATTCTTGATGCAGCTACAGTAGCCTTCTTTATGACCGATGCGGTTACATACTTTGCAGAGATGATCAGAAAATGGACAGTCACGGACGTAGTGCATCTGACCACACTGCCAGCATGGAGTACGAGGAGTGGACTTGCTTTCCGTTTTCAGTGGACGATGCTGGTTTCCGGGTTTCTTCTCCGAAATGCTATGGACCGAATTCTTCGAACTTGATGGATGTTCGATCATCGTAGTGTCCGACTTGATGTTGACGAGCCGCTGGAACTCGTCGATCAGAGTTTGAATTGTCACCGGAGCATCAGCCGTTTCACCTTCAATCCGGGATAGAAGCCTTGCTCGAATGTCCGCGTAGCGTGGTGCTTTGAGACCACAGACGAAAATCAAGCACTTGAAAGTGATCAATCTTCAAATTCTGGAACTCTAACTCTTCACATAGTCTGTTGACTTTTCCGCCATAGGTGATTATGTCGTCGGCCTCGGACTTGAGTAGCTGCATGCACTGGTAGCGTTTGTGGAATACGGAGGTCTGCCTGCCGAAGATCTTTGTGAGTGTCTTGACGGTATCGGCAAACGTGACATCCTTTGGTAGTTTCGGAAGGATGTAGTTGACGTAGCGACTGTGAGATGACGTGTCCAACTTCCGGAGCTGAAGCCTAACTTTTGCTGCGTCGTCCAGACTTCGTGCGTCGCTTTCAAACAAATCCGAGTAACGGGCGAATGTGGTGCCGTTCTCCGGATCGAAGCAGAACGCGCTGATGTTCGTCGACAGGGAATCCAAAACTTGCTCTGGGTTCTTCGTTTGTCGCCGCCATCCTTCCTCGGTTCGATTCTGGAATTTCTTGAACTTGTGAGCTTCCATAAAAATCCTCGTCGCCAACTGAAGTGTTCTTCTCAAAGAATTAAGGAAGTTTGAGTGCTTCTAACTATACGTTTATTCAGGTTGACATCTACACTTCGAATGACTAATTTTTCCATCTCGGTCCCAGCTGTAGGTTGCTGCGATTACTTGTGTTTCGCACGTGTTTTCTCTAAAATAAACCCTGATGTTAACCATTATAAAATCTTCTCAATATTCGTTCGAAAAAAGAAATCTAGTCTAGCCCAAGAATCTTGAGAATTTTTAAAAACCCAAATCTTATGTTTTGAAGAAATAATTTTTTTTTTAATGTGGTTGTTTCGAGAGTCGAAATGACTTTTGTCACTAGTGCAGTGAGAAAAGTCACATCGTGGTCACGTGACTCTCTGTACACGACGTGAATTTTCTAACTTCACTAGTGACGAAAGTCACCTCGACTCTCGCAATAACCTTTAACTTTGCCCCGATTTGTCATCGAAATTTAGGAGTTTTTCCCGGTGACTTTGAATTCTCGTTTTCCCGGTTTTCCCGATTTCCTGCACACTTAAATTTTTTCGCCGAGATTCCAACAGCCAAGTAATTCTGCAATTTATTTTGCTGAGATTCAGTCGAACAATTGCCGAGACTCAGCTAACAAATAACATTTTGCTGAGATATCAGCTAACAGATATTTTGCAGAGATATCAGCAAAAGTGAATGCTGTGAGAAGCAATCACGCTTACCACTACACCACCGGCGCCGCTATTTCACCGATGCTTAATAGTGTTTGAATCGCTAAAAATTCTTAACAATGCGGAGGACAAAATTACACTATATCCAATGCAAACTCGTTTTTGTTTGTATTTACATTATCTGATAACATAGAGCTGCCAAATAGATACGGTGTCCAAAACAAACATAGATTTAACTTGTAGGGTAACTACTTTGTCGTGAAAAGGTATGGTAGGCTTAAAACGAAGAAAGTGCATCTTGCCACAACGGTGCATGTTACCCCAGCTACCGATAGGTAGACATACAGTAATTACGCTGATTTTTGGTATATAATTAGTGTCAATCATAAACTAGTTATCAACAGAAAATTAGCTCAATTGGTTGAAGGATAGCCGAAAAATAACATTGGGTGGATGGTACCACCCACCGCATATATTAGGGGTTTGATAATATTCATAATCTTATGACATGATCAAGCACCTGTTTTGTGGACATTGTGAAATAAACTATCGTTATTCATGAGTTTCCTTATGCTTTTTAGCCACAAAAAATCGGTATGAATTTCATTGATTTGTCTTATGAAAAATAATGATGTAAACCAAATAATAAAATGGAGTCGACTGGGATCGAACCATGAACGGTGAGATTACGGGGCCCGTGCCTTCTTAGGAAATGGAGAAGGCAAAAGGCGTTTAAAAATTACCTCGTTTAAGACGATAATCATTCATAAAACACGCTGCTGGGTTTAGACTAGGCAAGTCAAATGATCAACTCAGTTGAATTCAATTGGCTTGAAAAGTTGAGCCTGGTTCAACTTTTTTCAATTCAAGTGAGTTGATCAAGTCAGTTGAATGGCATGGTTTACACGTTCGATTCGCGTTCAAGTCAGTTGAATTCAACTGACTTGATCAATTGACTTGCCCTGTCTAAACCCAGCTTTATGGTATTCATAAGTTTCGTTCAGAAGTCGTGCCTTATGGAATTCTCAAGTTTATTTTTCTCACTGCGTAGCTATAATTTTAGTGCTCTATTCCACGTATTCCAAGTCTTGTAGTTTGGATTTATTATATAAACAAACCATGCACGAGTGCGGATTTTCGATTATATTCAAAAACTTTCTATGGGACCATGAAATTTATCATTTAGTGGTTGTTGCGTCCAATTCCGTTCAGTGGTTGCAAAGAAACACGTACTAGAATATTTTCGTTACACACACAGTCATTTTCCGATCTCGTCGAGCTGAGTCGATTAGTATATGACACTCGGCCATCCGGGCCTCGGATCGAAAATCGGTTTTCCAAGCGATATGTACACCCTTCTTTGTAAGAAAGGTACAAAAATACCCGAAGCTGAGCCCGTTCTCGATTTTCATCGCTTCGTGAGTCAGTCGAGTCAGTGAGCAGCGAAGTTTGTAAACGTGTGTGGTCTCAAATTTTTCACGACCTGCTGTGCTGTGCTGGTGTACAAAACAGTGTTGTGCTGAATAAAGGCTGGAAAAATAAGTGTAGAACCAATCAGGTGGGACTGCGGTAGGCTTGCTTTGGATGACCATTTTCCTGGTATGTAATCGGTAGTTTTGGTCGTGTAGTTACGTTCCCGGATGATGTGAAAAACAGTGATCGAAAAAATGGATGCGCGGAAAATGGGTCTCGGGCAGAAGAAGTTGTAGGAATTTCTGCAGATTTTTTTTTCTGCTTCTCGTGTTTTGCTCTTGACTTGGAGCTGAGGGTCGGGTTTCGCTCTTACGAGATTTACGCTTCGAGCTTGTGTGCGTGTGTTTGTGTGGGTGTAATGTTGAGCTCATAATGGATAATAAATCTGGACTGACATTTGAACGGGACTTGAGAGCCCAAAATGTAAACAGGGCGTCTTCAGTGGTGTTACGTTTTTGATCCAAACGTATGCCGCACTTTTCAGGAATCTGGCAAAGAAAACCCAATTCGATCCACAACTTACACTATAAACACACCGGTCATCAAAGAAGCAAACGAGATGTTATTGGCATAATTCTGAAAAGAAAAGAAGTAATAAATGTTAGGTCACATAGTACCAACCGACGAACCATCAACCAAGATCCTTATGGAATTGGAGATTTTTCCCATTACAGCAATAGATCAGTGCACGGTCCCTAACCTCACTTTTTGCTCCCTATCATTTTGCTTCTGAGTAAAAAAGATAGCAACGAATGGGAGCCAAAACAAACCACCCAAAATTGTCAAAACTTACGGGTGAGAGAAGAGTGCGGCAAATCTTCGTGAACTGATCAATACGAACTAGTGCTCTGAATCATTTGAAAAATACAGAAAACATTGGTTCAAACAGCAGAAATCTCAGCCAATGTTCAATTCGTCTCTCACTCTCTCTCTCTCTCTCTCTTACATGATGTTGAGTGTCATACTCCAAGATAAAATCTAGCTGAAAAATAGAATTAGGGGAACTAGGGGCTAGTGAGCCACCCTCAATAATAATAATAATAAAAATCCAATTCCATCTCACTCATAAAACGTTTTATGGGACCAGGAAACCTTTCATTTAGTGGTTGTTGCGTCCAATTAGGTGGTACAAATGGTACTTTTTTGAAGCATTGTAGAAAGTTCTGTCCGTAAAAAATGCGAGTCAATGCAAAACATCAGTTTGTGTTGATGCATTTATGCATATTTCTTAAATCGATCAAATATTATCTTTTAAAAAATAAATCTCATACTGCCACCTCTAAATTTGTGTATTAGTTTATGCAATAATATTAGTGGGCTTGTTTTGTTTTAACAAATATCGTTATATTCAAAAGTCTGATCAAACAATAACAGCGGTTGTTAACATGTTTAAGAATATCAAGTTATTGTTTATAAACAAGTTTTAATCTGTTGCACTCCATTTTAGGTGCATGCCCGTTTTGCTCCCTTAGAGTGGGCACTCTTACCCCGTAACATTTTCAACACGTAAATTAGAAATGATGTTATGAAAAATTCATAAGCAGCTTTTGATGTGATTTAGTTTTAATTGTATTAATGACACATCAAGACAATACCATAAACATGCAGGTTAGGTGTACAAACTCATGTAAAATCCACGGTATGGAATACATAGCATAACACACAATTGTTAGTGTGGCACTCTTGCCCCTAGATCCTCTATAATCAAATAACGTCAATATACAAAACATTATAGCGTCGACTAAAGAGACTGAATTGGGTAAAGAAGCGACATCTTATCTATTTGACAGGTCTTCTGCTCGATTGGAATAACTTTTCCTATGACATTGACAGATAATCCATTGTTCCAATTTTGACATATCGTCTCTTTATAAATTCAGGCTCTTTACCGTTATTCTCGAGCTATTCGCCGAAAAAACTTGCTCCCCAAGTCTCAAAAATGTTGCTTAAATGTTCGATGGAATGTATAGAAACGTCAAAGTGAACCGATACCAGCGTTGTGGTAGGATATTCGTTAAACTAATAATATTTAGGAGAAAGAGTTTAATCTGATTCTCTGTGGTTTGTTTAACCACTCGCAAAATGAGCTGTTTTCATCTAGCTAGAATAATCAAATTTCGTCAGGCGTACTATATAGAACTATCGCTGCAACTTGCATGCAAGTTGATCTCCAAACAATTATTTCGTAAAATGTACTTCATATATGGCTATAGCTCTCTAAGTGATGATAGTACTGCTGTAACGTAACCAGCGTGTTTGTTTTGCTCTGGCACATATTACAAGTAGGTGAGCTTTAATTTGAGTATTGTTTTTGCCCATTAATAGATTAAAAGAATATAATTTTCGAGCGAAGCTAGTCTACAGACCTCAACAAAAAAACTATTGAACATATGTGCGAGGTAGATAGTATATTGGACAGTGGTCAAAGTGGAAAAATGAGCCAAAAGCCACTTCGCGAGATCTTCCTTCTCGCACGCAACCATGGTTGAAATTATCTCATTTTGAATTTGAGGTAATATACCAATCTCTCCAACAATGGGCTCTCGTGTGCGTACAACAAGAGTAAATACAACGCAGCGGAAGGCAGAGAGAACGGAACGGACGATGCCTGGTGAAGCTTTGTAGTAAAAATTGCAAACATGCCTACAAACAAACGGAGAGAATCAGTGAGAGTTTGCGTCCTACATCGTCTAAGACCAGCGTTGCCAGCTCATTTTCTGGAAAATCTCAAGTCCAGTTAAAATATAAAATCTGAAGTAATCCTTAGGAAGGGGAAGTTCACCGCTCCGAAAACAGTAATTACGTTTTGATTTTTCTAAAAATATAGGAAAAATATATAAAAAATCTAAAACAATACAATTTTTTTCAAATTTTTTAAAGAAAATTCACGTGCAAAAACATGTTCTGTAAGTCATCATGGCATAAAGAAGGACTCAATAAACCACAAAACATCGAAATTTCGGTTTTGCTCAGAGTCCTTTTTTTAAGGAGATAGAAAAAAATATTTTTACATGTATATTTCCTCAGGAATTTAAGGAAAAAACTGTATATTTTAAAAAAATTAGAAAAATTAAAATGCGCCGAAAAAAATATTTTCAGCGCGGTAAACTTGCCCTTAAAGAGTTGTTTAGATTTTCCTTCTTTACATTACTTTATTCTTGGATTATTAGTTAGGTAGCTTCCAATTCTGCACGTTGAAGTTTAATTTTTATAACTGTGATCTTGATGTTCTAGGAGATGAGTACTTATGGGGGTTAGATTTTGCGAGGGACTGTCAACTTGAGTATTTTCGATTCATCTACCCGACTTACGTTCCTCTTCGGTATTTGGACACATCTCTTTGGTTAGCTTTTGGTTTGGGTCAGCAGGTGTAGCAACTACATTGCAATCAGGAGCATTGAAACGCTGCAGCAGACTATTGATATAACCCTGATCTATCATCACTTGATAACGATCAGCAAATCGTCCACGTACACTGCAACAATCAGAACCATGCCACCTTGAATCTTGAAGTACACGCATGTGTCGTTTGTAGATCGCATCAAATCAATGCGTTTCAACTCAGCATTCCATTTGTGGTTCCATACTCTACTGGCTTGCTTAAGGCCATATAGTGCTTTCTTCAACCGGCAAACTTTCCTTGGTGAAGTAGGGTCGACAAATTTCCTTCCAGGAGCTCGAGCCATCATCGACAGTCGCCTACTGTACGGTGTAGAGATTACATGCCTTGCCGCCGAGAAAGCCGTCCAGATTCTGGAACCGGTGTACAACGGCTACGTTCGAACAGTTTCCGATCTCCTGCCCTCTACCCCGCCCGACGCTGCATGCGTTGAAGCCGGTATCCTACCTTTTCGGCTCGTTTTCACCGCAGCTACTGCTACCAAAGCCGCTGCCTTTCTCGCTAAAACGTCGGGAAACAACAGGATCGTTCTCCTCGACGAGGCGAACTGACCTCAGCACGGCTGCCGACGTAGATCTCCCTCGAGTGGCCAGGGTCCACTGGCACGGAGACAAAAGTTGGCAATCGCACAAGATCAAAATTGACAGCCGAATCAAGGACCGCTTCAGGGCAGGAGACAACTCGCTGGCTTTACGCCGGACAGTTGTCGAAACTCTCGGGACGCACTACCAAGACTATGAAGTTAGGTACACCGACGGCTCTCTCTCTAACTTGTGAGCAGATCGCTCCCGACCCAATGCTCGGTGTTCTCCGGCCGATATTAGTCGTAACTGACTCACACAGCGTGATATTGGCCCTAACAACAGAAACACCGAAGCATCCGTGGATCCAAGGGACGGTTGAGCACGCGCCGCCCAACACAGTATTCATGTGGGTACCCGGTCACTGCGGGATCCAAGGGAACGTAATAGCCGACCACCACGCCGGCTCAGGCCACACCGGACCCAGGTCCACCGGCAATGTACCGCTCCAAGATGTCAAAAAGTGGATCAAGCGGATGGGACACCGAGTGGAGGAATAACAGGACACACCACCTTCGGAAGATCAAGGCGACCACCGGAACCTAGAAGGATCGATTAAACCTAAGAGAACAACGAGTGGTGTCAAGGCTGCGCACCGGGCACAGCAGAGTCTCCCACAACTTTGGAGGAACACCGTTCCGGAGGACCTGCAAAACCTGCGGAGTGCCAGCCACCGTGGAGCACATCCTCGTGAACTGCGCGGAGCTGGAGGACCTTCGGGCTGCCTTCGGCTTGGAGTCAATCAGCATTCGGAACCTGTTGGGCGACGAGTCCCCGGCATCACCTTCCTAAAGGAGGCGAACTTTTACCACAATATCTGAGTGTTCCTCGTTTGTATTTCCATTTTGTTGGCCTTTTTGGCAGTTTTCTACACCTTTTCATTATAGCAAGATAATTTTTTTTCTGCTTTTTATACTAGGGATATTCACAATGCGCATCGTAAACGTATACACCCTCGTAAATGCGTAAACTTCCATTACACTCCAATGGACCCTGTTATTTTTACGATAGTGTATATGTTTATGATGCGCAATTCAGCTAATTCCCATGTTTGATTGTCCATCAGGGCCTCGTATTCCACATTCATTGCTTCCTTCCATCTTTCGCTGTCATGTCCAGTAATCGCTTCATGGAACGTATCTGGTTCAACCTCAGCTTCAATGAAATGTTTCTGTTCGGGTCACGATACCTTACCAAAAATTGTGGGTCCTCTTGTTGTGGAGGGAGGAGCACGGAAGGTTGTACCTCTTCATCAACCATCGAATCTGTATCGCTGTAGACCGTATCATCCAGGAGATTTTCGTTCGCAACTTCGTTTTGTCTATTCTGAATAATGAGTTCACTTACTTCTGCATTGTATCCTGATGTCGCACAACGCTTCATTTCACATTCATCCACAAAAATGATGTCTCGGCTGACGAAAATCTCCTTGATCTTCTTGCTGTATATCATATACGCCTTCGAAGTTTCACAGTAGCCAACGAAGATACACGCTTCAGATTTCTTGTACCACTTATTTCGTTTCTCCTTCGGCAAGTGTACCATCACTTCGTCTTCAAATATTATATTATATTCAAATATTCCAGAAAACCTGTCCTCGGGGGTCATGGGCAGTCTTTTTGTCCTGCTTCCACCCAAAAACTGTTATCAAGATCTGCATCGAACAGCATACTCTTCACTCTTTCGACCAACCTCTGCCGAAGCCGCCCACGGCCCAACCGGCGGTTTCAACATCTGACTGCTGATAGCGTTCTATTTAATTTGATTGAGTCACGTCATCCTTTCTGCTAATCTTTTTTGCTCCGTCTCATGATGAATTCCTTCTTTCCGCAAAAAGTATCGAAAACTTTATAATGAGAGAGAGAAGAATTAGAAATTTCCATTTAATTCCACTACCTTATTTGCTTATCCTTGACAGATACGCGTATTTCGTCTACAATGTGCAGACTTCTTCAGTGTCTTGTACTAATACTCGACTACTTTGGTTGACGTACTGTTTGTCGTTGTCCGTTGATTTTCGACAAAAGCATTGTAGTCTTGAAACGCTTCGAAGTGCTCGTTTTTGATTTTAGGAAACATACAACTGCATTTCGGCTTGCGTCGTCGATGAAGGTCAGGAAATAACGACTGCCTCCCATCGACTCTGTCTTCATAGGACCGCACAATTCCGAGTGGATGAGTTTCAACACACGATCCTCTCGGTGCCTATTAGCCTTGAATGGTTGACGACAGGGGCCTTATAGCCTAGTCAGTAAAGGCACGGTATTACCAAGCCGGAGGCGGTGGGTTCGATTCCCGGTCCGGTCGAGGGAATCTTTCGGGTTGGAAATTTTCTCGACTTCCCTGGGCATAGAGTATCATTGTGCTTGCCACACAATATACAAAATTCATGCATTGGTATTGGCATCGAAAGCTCTCAATTTATAACTGTGGAAGTGCATTTAGAACACAAGTTGAGAGCACGCAATAAGCTAATATGCGCTAAGCAATAAGCTTGAACTGCGAGCAAGAAGAAGAAGAAGGTTGACGACAATGCTTATCTTCTATACACTATATGCACTTCGCCGGATCCTTCACTTCGAATTCCAATCCGCCACTCTGAAGCAAATCAACCACGCGGTTAATGAGAACAATCGTAGCTTAGACCTTTGCTTCGTCACCGCTCAGGATACTGCTCCGCATTTGTCTATGGCTGTTTCTCCGTTGATAAAGACTGTTCCACACCATCCTCCTTTAGTTATTGCACTTGAAGGCAATCAATCATTCCACCCCCCCTAGAGGTCTCCTACGATTTCCGAAATGCTGACCATGACAGTATCGGGGAACTTCTTTCGAAGCTCTGTGAACTCCGTATGTTAAAGTCTTACAAAAGAGCCGCGCTAAGACATTACACCAAGTACCACACCCTACAACTCAAGCACTATTATGCGAGGATCAATCATGCGTATCGACGTTATCAACGAGATGTTCAACGGAAGCTTCGATATCACCCGAAAACTTTTTGGAATTATGTAAATGAGCAACGAAAGGAGTCTGGCCTTCCATCGACTATGGTACTGAACGGCGAAGAAGCTTCATCCCCTCAGGACATTTGCCGTCTGTTCTCAACCAAGTTTGCCAGTGCATTCTCGGATGAGAACCTACCTGACGAGCACGTTTCTCTAGCAGCCAGTTATGTTCCAATGTCTGGTTGGCAGCTATCAACATCGACCTCACTATGATAACTAGGGCGGTTTCGCAACTGAAGTCTTCATTTAAGCCTGGACCTGACGGAGTTCCTTCCGTCTTTCTCAAGCAACACATCGATAGCGTGGTGGCTCCTCTCTGCCTTCTGTTCGAAATGTCCCTCTCCAGTGGGGTGTTTCCTTCCTGCTGGAAATCAGCTGAGATGTTTCCAGTGCATAAGAAGGGATGCAAAAGAAACATCACATCGTTGTTTGCCATATCTAAACTGTTCGAGCTGGTCGTTATGGAACCATTAGTCTCTCACTTCAAGCAGCACTTGAGCGAAGACCAGCATGGTTTCATGGCAGGGCGGTCGACTACTTCCAACCTTCTGTGTCTCACCTCGTACATTACGGAGAGTATGACAGACCATATGCAAACAGATGTCATCTACACTGCCCTATCAGTCGCCTTCGACAAGTTGAACCATCCTATAGCGATCGCCAAACTGGATAGGCTCGAAATGAACGGCACTCTCCTACGATGGTTCGCATCCTATCTATCTGATCGTCAGTTGGAAGTTGCGATCGACGACTGCCGATCTCCTTCGTTCCCTGACACTTCGGGTATTCCGCAAGGTAGCCACCTCGGCCCGTTGATATTTCTTGTGTATTTCAACGACGTCAATTTCGTCCTCGACGGCCAAGACTGTCGTTCGCAGACGACATGAAAATCTATTTCCGAATCCGAGCCATCGCTGACTGCATCCAATTACATTCAGTTATATCCTAGAAGGTGTTGACGTACATCGTGTGATTCACATTAAGGATCTGGGAGTCATCTTAGATTGTCAACTCACATACAGCCAGCATATCTCGTACGTGATTGACAAGGCATCCAGAACGCTCGGCTTCATTTACAGGATAGCTAAAAGTTTCACGGACATCTACTGTTTGAAGCCGCTTTACTGCTCCCTCGTCCGGTCGGTGTTAGAATACTGCTGCCCTGTATGGAATCCCAATTGAATTACCAAAACAGTGTACAAAGAGTAGAGTCTATTCAACGACGATTCATCTGGTTTGCCCTTCGACGATTGCCTTGGAGGGATCCTCATCGCCTTCCAGGCTACGAAAGTCGGTGCCAGTTAATTCACCTGGATCCTTTGTGGAGTCGAAGAGATACGACAAGGACCCTGTTTGTGGCAGACATTCTACAGGGCTGAATCGATTGTCCTTCTATTCTACAACAAATCGACGTTAACGTTCAACCACGAGCACTCCGTAACAACGCAATACTGAGGATACCTTTTCGTCGTACAAACTATAGTTCGTATGGTGCTATCAATGGGCTACAGGCTATCCAATGGCAACTATATCTGGTCCCATAACCTGATAAAAGTAGGTCTGACACGGAAGAGGTTTGGGCAATGAATGACAAAGGCTATTTTTTATTATCATGGCTCACTACTATCTACAATAATTCAGTGATTAGGTACTCTAACACATCTACAACAAAATTGAACATTTAGAGGGGTAGAATTCGTCGTTGAATAGGGAAATCGTTTCAAAACTACTATTTAAAACTACCTACTTGAATACTAAACAAACTATTGTTTAGCAATATCATGAAAAAGAATTATTGAGAAACGAATATTGAACGGTGCACCAGTGGTCGAAACCGCAGAATTTCACGACTAAAATCGATATCTCGAAAACTATGCACTATTTTGGTCAATTTTCAAGTGTCCATTAGAACATTCCAAAAGTTTGCATTTTTATTTGTAGAGCAACATGTTTAAAAAAAATCTGGTAAAATCTGTGTATCTGCCAAGACGACTGGAAATCTGGAGCAAACCCGAGGTAAATCTGGAAAATACTGGCAACGCTGTACTCGAGACTGAGGGAAAGAGAGACCCTTTCTTTTCCGAGAGAGAAAAATCTGAGCAGACCAGTTAGCACTACTAGCTTGCACTTTAGGTATTAGCACCAAACCAAGCACCACCAGTCAGAGGCAGTCAGTCACAGTCGAAAAGCAGAGGAAAAAGTACGATTTTGCTTTCCTCAGTGTCAAGTTTAAAATAATCAATTCATTGCCTGCCAGATTAGTGTAAAAGTTACAGCTAGGTTTTGGGGCCAGTGCAAAACGTTAGTATATTTACCTGCCCAATGCTCATTGTTCTTATCGGGAACCAAATTGGAGCTTAGTCATTTGATGAATCAGACTGGTAATGTTCCTCAAACTGGTGATGATGAACCCTCCTTTTTTGCATTCGGGTTCAAAATGACGACGACCGTGAGTAGGAGCAGAAGGAACAAAATTTTCCTCTCCCAATTTTTGACAGCTACATTAATACGATGCGTGACACTGGTTAAATATTGAAGAGGAACATCAAAATGACCGTGATAGTGTGGATAGTTGTACATTGCGAAGGACTTTTCCCGGTGATCGATGCCAAGACGACATTCCACCATGGCCTTTTCTCACTATTGGTTTGAACTCGAATCACCTTGACTTTTGGGTGCAAATGGAAGGGGGTTGGTCGGTGTGGGAAGAAATCCGAGCTGCCAAAGGGAGGGATAGGACAAGAAGCCCGCATTCGTTCCTCGGCACTGATTGGAGCAATTTACATTTCTATTTAAAAGAAAACTATCAACTACTACGTTCTTTCCATTGCAGATCGAGCCAATTTGTTCCGAAGCGAGCAACAGATAAGGCCCATCAGCTGTCTCCAGTGCAGAAGATGGATTGCTGCTGAGTGGATTGCAAAGTTCGAACGATACACCGAAAATTGAAAAGTTGTGATTCACGCGCAGAGTGTGCGGACAGACAACAGCTCATCGATATCTCACGTCCCGGTTTCCCTAATTGGGAACTGTCGATCTCGAGGTTGTTTATATTTTTTCAATTTAATTTTGTGCCTCAACGAAAAGTGAACGAAGACCCTCTCGAAGAATAGTTTACGATCCAAGGCATGAATTTGGGAAGTTCCGGTGGAACGAGCACGTCCGGTCATTCCAGCAGCTACACGGGCGCCGGTAGCGGTAGTTCTGTGGCAGGCGGTAGCAGCGGCAGTAACAGCGACATGCCTGCGGAAATCCGTCCCAAGGTGGTCACGGTCAAACATCCGGAATCGAACAAACCCAAACCCACCACCAAGAAGGGCAAGGCCATCCAAGCCGACGTCGATGTAATTAAAGAATTTCAACGCTGCAAAGAAGAGGGCATCCAGAGACTTGATCTAAGCAAATCTTCCATTACGATTATTCCACCCTCAGTGAAGGATTGCACAAGTCTCGTGGAGTTCTATCTGTATGGCAACAAAATAAGCTGCCTTCCTGGGGAGATTGGCAATTTGTCCAATCTGAAAACGTTGGCATTGAATGAAAACTCTCTAACATCGTTGCCCGATTCCCTGCAGAACCTTAAGCAACTGAAAGTCCTAGATTTGCGACACAACAAGCTTTCAGAAATCCCCGATGTCATCTACAAACTACACACCCTGACCACGCTGTACTTGCGCTTCAACCGGATCAAGGTTGTGGGAGACAATCTGAAAAATCTTAGCAATCTGACGATGCTCAGCTTGCGGGAGAACAAAATCCACGAACTACCGTCGGCGATTGGCCATCTGGTAAACCTGACGACGCTGGACCTTTCCCACAACCATCTGAAACACCTGCCGTTGGAGATTGGCACCTGCGTCAACCTGACGGCACTGGATCTGCAGCACAACGATCTGCTGGATATTCCGGAGACGATAGGCAATCTGGCGAATCTGATGCGGCTTGGACTGAGGTGAGTAGTCGATCCTGAATCTACATTGATCCTATGTACAGCAAAAAGTCTCCCCTTATTCTGCGAGTCACGGGACTCTCCACCGGTGAGGTGACTCTCCGTGCAAATCAAATAGAGAGTCACCTCACCGGTGAGAGAGAGTCACGTGACTCGCAGAATATGGGAGAGTATGGTTTACTTGTCTGTGATTGGCCGTCAAACATCACCGCGGTATTGATGTCTGTGCTAGGGGATATATTTTGAGGATTTTCTCATTCATTTCGAGGCTAACAAAATCGGGTCATTACTGATTCGAAATGCCAATCGAAGAGTAATTTTCGCAGGGACCACTTACTAAACTTCTTTGAAATGCTCCCGCACTTAGCTTATGTTCAAGAAAGTTTCTGATGTTCTCGGAACTTCCTTTAAGTTCCACAGACTTCTGTGAAGATATGTTTCTGAGAATCTCTGCACTTCTGTGAAGTTTTCGAAGTTTTTTTTTTGTGTTTAAAGGCCTTGTTTACGTTTGGTTGTTCCGCCTATTTCAATTGTTGGTCTAGACTATTCTGCTCATTGCTGCTTTAGGATCTGCCATCGACGTTGGATGCCGTCTTCGAATACCTACTTCTATCTGGTTCAACGAAGCCAGTTCAATTTGAAGAAAAACATACTCAATGCATTCTAGGACGATGATGCATCCAGGACACTCTGAAGTGAGTGGTGTCGGTCCGGCCGGCTTGATTAACGTTGATCATGCCGATGCTGGGTGAAGTAAGCGACAAAAAATTTCGTAGGCAGCTGGATATTGTAAGAAGATTATTTCAAAGGTGCTGTACTGCGGATTGATCAAGGATCATGTTTCTCATCGTCAACATAATCCAAAGAATTGTGAATGTGATATCGGACTTGTTAGTGATTTCCGTAAACTTTGGGGGTGAGTATTTTGGACTGGTTGGCAAATCGCTGGGTCTCGTTGAAGAGTGTAAAAATACATTTGACACCGTCTTCAACCAGAGGTTGCACAGACTGAACACCTGACACTGAGAATTTTCAAGTTGCAAAAAGTTCCACCGGCTGGAGCGGGAATCGAACCCTCACTTCGTGGCACTCACAATATGCCTGAACGACGGGTAACGCCGATAACAACACGACCATGAAGCCCACCTTAAATCGAACAGGATTGCATTGTCAGGTGGCGTCTCTCTTGCGTACTCTTCAACGAGTCCCAGCGATTTGCCAACCAGTCCAAAACAGTCACCCTTAAGTCACTCACTTGGGACCTCCCTTAGCTCAGTCGGTAAAGGCGCAGCTACATAGCAAGACCATGCTGGAGGTGGCTGGGTTCAATTCCCGGTCCGGTCTAGGAATTTTTCGGGTTGGAAAATTTCTCGACTTCCCTGGGCATAGAAGTATGATTGGACTTGCCACACAATTATACCAATGCAAAAATGATACAGGCATCGAAAGCTCTCAATTAATAACTGTGGAAGTGCATCTAGAACACTAAGTTGAGAGCACGAAATAAGCTAATATGCGATATGCAATAAGCTTGAAATGCGAAGAAGAAGAAGAAGAAGAAGTAAGTCACTCACAAGTCCGATATCACCCAAGGACTACCATCCTCTCCAAGCTATTCATCGTCGCAAACCAACGGTGCACCGTATTTTCCAACATCTTCATATTCACCCATAGCTCGTACTTTTCAAACTTCCCCAACTATTCTCCAAAGTTCCTCTGAGTAGTAAAACCTACTACCTTTATAAGTTCAATCGTTCAGTCCTGTTCCCTCAAAGTCAGTTATATTTTCAAGCTTCTCATTATTCTTCAATCTGCAATGAACAGAACATTTTTACAAATTTAATTGGAGTTATGGAAAACTCAAATGAGCTCAACAAACTTCAAATAGTTTCAGTAGAGTTCTCCAAATTACACTAAACATCTCAAAACTGTTCTGAATACATCATCGAAGTTCAGAGAGTAGTTCTGGGTGGTGTGGCCTATTCTGCGTGGTGTGTTCTGAAGTTCACAAAACAACTCTGAGGTACGCTGAACTTCTTTAAAGCTTACAATACTTCCTTGAAGATCGCAGAACTACTCCGAAGGAGCTTCAAAGGGTTCCTATGCAATTTATTAATGATCTGATAACTTCAGGGGAAGTTTTCTGATCTTAAGAGGAAGTTGTCTGAAGTTCAAGTGAAATTCTCTGATCTTCAGGCGAAATTCTTCGAACTTCAGGCAAAATTTTCTGAACGTAAAGGGAAGTTCACAGAAGCTCTCTAACGAAAAAAAAAATACCTAACTTCCGAAGAAAAGTTTACACATCTTCGCTGAAGTTCAGAGTACTTAAAAATACCTAAGGTTCATAGAACTTCCCTGTAGTCAATCAAAGTTCCCTTAAGTTTGACGAAAAGTTCGGAAAACTTCCGACAAGAAGTTAAGAGAATTTCCGAAGAGAGGTTCAGAGAACTACTTGCGAGAAGTTTAGAGATCATTCGACAAGCAGTTCAGAGAGCTTCTGATGAGAAGTACAGAGATCGTCCGACGAGAAGCTCAGGTAACTTTCGACGAGAAGCTCAGAGAACTCCCGACGTGAAGTTCAGAGAGCATCCGACGAGAAGTTTAGAGAACTTTCGACAAGACGTTCAGATGTTCAAAAGATGTTCATAGTACGTTCAACGAGAAGTTCAGAAAACTTCCGAGAAGAAGTTCCGGTAGCTTTCGAAAAGAAGTTGAGATAACTTCCGAGGAGAAGTTCACAAAATGTCTGAGGATAAGATCACTGAACTTCCGACAAGATGTCAGAGAACTATCAAGTAGAGGTTAAGAGAACTTCGCAATCTGTTCATGAAACTTCCCGAAATCCTCTATCCTTATCTTTCATTCCTCGGAACTTCTTCCCACAATTTGTGTGAACCCTTTTGAAGATCTCTAATCTTTCCTGAAGTTCTCGCTGCTCTTCTGATGATGTTCCTGGAATTGCCCTGAAATTAATATATTTCCAGAGAACTTTGGGATTTGGGCGTAATTGCTTTTGTAAAAAAAACACGTCTATCGCCGATTTCTCGTAAATTGAAACTCAATCTCACGAACAAACCATACCAAATGATAGAGGAATCTTTTCTCCACCTGTTTGTGCCGTTAATTTTTTAGATTAAGTTTTAATTTGCGAGGAATCGGCGATTGTAGTGCTTGTTTACAACAGCAATTACGCTCTAATCTCAAAGTTCTCCGAATTTGCCAAAAGTATCTCTAAACTTCCCCGAAGTTTTCTGAATCTTCAGTGAAGTTTCCGAAATTTGTCTTAAGTTCTCTAAACACTCCTGATGTTTTCCGAAATTCTTCTAGATTCTCAATGGTTTTCTGAATTCAATAGAACTGCCCTAAGGTTCTCGAAATTTGGAACTTTCCTAAACTCCCCGCAATTTGACTGATAATCATGGTCTGAGGTTAGGTTATGTTTATTAGCGAGACTTTCAGCCAGAGGCTGGTTCATCTCAAATATTGGGGAATCCAGAAGGGGTCCCCCCTAGTGACAGAGTTTGAAATAGCGGTGGGGAGCCAGAAGGGATCCCCTAGTTATAGAGTTAATGAGGTGGGGGATCTAGAAGGGACACACTCATTAAGAGGAGTGGACAGTCCAGAAGAGACCTCCCTGATAACAGAGTATTTGTTTTTCAGAGTTGGCTGTCGGCTAATTGTTATGGTGGTGTATTCAGAGTCCGTTATAGAGGTTGGTCCTGGTTCGATGCAGTGGGTCGGTTATGGTTGGTTCTTGTCGGTGAGTTAGGTCAGATGTTCTTATACATGTTGGCGTCCTTGATGAAACATATAACAGCTGCTTCGGTTGAAGGGTCATTGGCCAAGGCGTTTCTAATCTTCGTCGGGATCCTATAAAGATCCCTAATTCCCTGGAAACCTGGGCAATTCACTAAGAGGTGCTCTACCGTCATCGTTGTGTTGCAAATATCACAGTGTTTTCGGAACGAAGTCGTACTTCCCATATTGGGGGTCGTCCGAGTATGTCCTGAGCGGAGACAAGAAAGAATCAGTTGGTCATGACGGTTTGGGGAATATTGCCACTTGGTGGTTTCCCCTTTGATTTTACGGAGGAACGGTTCCCTTTTGCTGGCCCACTCCTGGGCCCAAGCATTCCGAAGTTTGAACTTCATCCAAGTCTTGATATCAGGTCCTGGAACGGTTTTAGTAGCGAGCCTTCCAGATCGGCCCGTAGCCGCAAGATGGTCTGCTTCACAATTCCCCCGGATGTCGCAATGCCCGGGGATCCATAAGAAGGTAGTGTTCGACGGAGCTTCCAAGGATCCAAGGATGTCTGGGATTCCAAAGCTGTTAGAACACTTGCAGAGTCCGAAAGGATACAAAGCGGTTTGCTGGCGTGGAAGATTGCCGCACTATCCGCAGATAACACAGAGTACTGGTCCAGGAGTCGGAAGAAAAAACTGGCAGCGGGATCTGCAATTCCAAGGCCGACTCCTCCCAAGGTCTTAGAGGCATCCGTATATCTGTGGTGGTGGTCTGAGTATTTCGTACGAAGCAGTTCAGTCACGTATGCGTGCATTTCTCGCGAGTTATTACCAGCCTGGAATCAACTAGCAACCGAGAGGTCAACGTGAAGGCTTGGTTCTGCCCATCCTTTGGTTCCGATCCAGGTTCCTCAGAGCTCTGTTCCCCTCTCTGAGGAGACAGACTTCTTCGTTTCCGGCAGTCTTCGCCAAATAGCTTATTGTTCTGCTTACCAGGGTCTCGGCAACTTGGTACCGGAAAGGCGGGTCGGTATGAGCCCAGCTTCAATACGGATGGCTTGATTATAAGTGGAACCTAGCCGCGCAATGAAGAGGTCACTATAGCCGTACAGAAAATCTCAATTCCGTAGAAGATGCCTTTTGCTACCCTAAGCATAATGTTCCTGTTGTCACTACGATGAGGGCTGGAAAGTGTCCGCAACAAGCTAAGTCTTGTGCGGTAGCTGTTCCGTACATTGTTAAAATGAGGAGCGAAGCTTAACGTCCGATCCAAGAGCACCCCAAGTATTGTGACCGTCTTCCGGAAAGGTATTGTGGTAAACTTAATGGCTGATTGTAATAAGGACGGTGTGAGGATCGGCAGATGTGAGAGACTACGCTTTTGTCGGCTGAGAGCACGAATCCCACCTGGGGCGCCCATCTTTGTGTGACCGATACAGCTGCCTGAAGGGCTTTGAGGGTACGGCCAATTGCCAAGAGAATTACGTTGTCTGCATAAACGAAAATATAAATCTCCTTTGGAAAAGGAGCCTCAAAGATCCCATTCATTGTGACCAGGAAAATAGTGACCGCAATGACGGAACCCTGTGGGACTCCTGTCTCTTCCGCTCGAATTGAAGAGTGGTTGTTCCCGATTAAGACCTGGAAGGTCCGGCCTCAGAGAAAAGTTCTAATGAAATGTAGGATGTGGTCAGCCAGCCCCCAATCACCTAACTGCTGGATTATCCGGGGTGTCCAAGCACGGTTGTATGCTTTTGCTAGATCCAGGGACGCGACGTCAACGTGGAGATTGTTTTCCATGGCGTTCTGCAGAACCTCTCCTAGGCCGGTGAAGTAGGCTTCCACTCAGACGGCATTATGCTCCCCGTCAAGATATTCACCCCTATTCTGTATTTCGTTTCGAACGAAATTCTCATACAAAAATATATTTTTTTTTGTATGAGAATTTCGTTCGAAACGAAATACAGAATAGGGGTGATTGTTGGACAACATCGCAAGTTTGGTTTCCGGCGGTAGATGTCTGAGCATAGGGTATCCGATTTCGTCCGGGCCATCATGGTCTGAGCTTTCAGAACTGTTCGAAACTTACTTTTCTTAAGTTTCTGCAACTTTCTCTCTGATCTTCACTGATTTTTTTAAAAAAAATCGTGAAATCTAACGAACTGCCCTGAAGTTATTGGAACTTATCTGAAAGATAACGTTCGAAACATCCTTTAAATTTTTAGAAATTCCAAGAAATTCACACTCTTGAATGTTCCTGTGTGTTCCTGATATTAATGGGACTAACATACAGTTTTCAAAAAATGTCTGATGCTCTCGGAACTTCATTAAAAGTCCCACTTTTTTCCTGATGCTCATGGGACTCCCAATTTCTTTAAACTTTTCTGATGTTCCCCCCTACCTACCTACCTACCTACCTACCTACCTACCTACCTACCTACCTACATACCTACCTACCTACCTACCTACCTACATACCTACCTACCTACCTACATACCTACCTACCTACCTACCTACCTACCTACCTACCTACCTACCTACATACCTACCCAGACAACCAGAAGTCGTATAACAATGTACAGACAGTATCGTAAATAACTACAGTTTAAGTCAATATCGCATATAAGTATGACATACATCGTATTATGTTTAAGTTAAATCGTATAGAATGCAAATTTCCGACTTATATGCGATGAATCATTCTTCCATCGTACTGTATTATTAATTAAATCGGATTACATCGTAAGGCTTTTCAAATTGAAATTGTTATTACAGATTTAATCGTATATAATGTCAAATCAACTCGTTTAAAAAGAAATTAAAATTTGCACGTATATGGCCTCCACTTTTGTAGGTATAGGCCCTTTTTTTGCATTCTATACGATTTGTTTGATTGTATATATGTTTGTATATCACAGAAACAACTTTGAATATACGTGCATTCTGGTTGTCTGGGTACCTACCTACCTACCTACCTTATTTTTTTCTTTAAGCTGATCTCAAAACTACATTTGAACACTACTCAGAATTCCTAGAGATTTATCCCTAAAATTACCTTTATGCGCGTCTGAAAATTTTGTAGAAATTCCGCATTTTTGAAGATTCATCTTAGTCCGAAATCTCTTCTAACCTGAGTTAAGTTATGGTCAAATTTTCGCAATTCAATTTTTTCCTGTCCGGTCAATACCGTTCATTAGTTTCAATAAAGTAGAAGAGTCTGTGCCTAGGGTTACGAACGGAAGGTTGACGCAGGACCGCGATAAATCGGTACAATTATTTTTGCATTCTCTCAAATTTAAAGTTTTTGGCTCTCTGGCCAGAAATCGCTGTAGAAGGCAAATTTGCGCACGAGCTGGAAAGTGATGCCTGTGCCACAGAATATAGATTCATCCCATCCATCCACTCTTCTTATTAGTTCGTTAAATGTCTTAATTGTTTAACTATTTTCACAATTTGTACTATGCTCCATAAAATTGCTGGATAAATTCTCCGTCGAATGACATATAGCATGACATATTTTCCATCAATGGTTTTGAGAAATATGCGTTTGAAAACTGCCCCCATTTTCGTTACATGCCTCATTTTCGATTTCGTAATGTGACTCCCAGTATAGTAAAGAAAGACGTAGTGCTACGTCAAAAATGTTTTGATTCTACAAAATTAACATGTTTAAGGACTTTGCAAATCATTCAAGATCTGACTGATTTCTGAGAGATTTTGAACCCTACCTCTCTTTAGATAGTAGTTCAAGCAAAACAAAAATAAAAAATTAACTCACCCAAGTTAAGAAGTGGCGGTGAAGACTTTTCTAAAACCATCTGGCATCCCTTGTTGGTAGTATGGAAGGTTATGTTGGATGCCGCTTGAATCCACAGTCTCCATTGTATATGTCGACTCGTTCTGAAAGGAAAAGCAGTTAATTATTTCATGACTAAGGCTGTAATCTTCCTAATTTCAACATCATACATATAGGAGACGAACCAACCCCCGCTGCTAAAAGTCTCTATAATAAAGAAACCCAAACTAACATCATAAAATGTCACCCCCACAGATACAATCAACTGACATCGATTCCGGTTTCGCTCAAAAATTGCATCCACATGGACGAGTTCAACGTCGAGGGTAACGGCATCAGTCAACTGCCGGACGGCTTGCTGGCCAGCCTCAGTAACCTGACCACCATCACCCTGTCGCGCAATGCGTTCCACAGCTATCCATCCGGTGGCCCCGCCCAGTTTACCAACGTTACCAGTATCAACATGGAACACAACCAGATCGACAAGATCCAGTACGGAATCTTCTCACGAGCCAAGGGACTCACCAAGCTGAACATGAAGGAGAACGCCCTGACTTCCTTGCCACTCGATATCGGCACCTGGACGCAGATGGTTGAGCTCAACTTTGGAACCAACTCGCTCACCAAGCTCCCGGATGACATTCACTGCCTGCAAAATCTGGAAATCCTTATTCTGTCCAACAACGTGCTGAAGCGCATCCCCAACACGATCGGTAACCTCAAGAAGCTGCGAGTGCTGGACTTGGAGGAGAACCGACTGGAGTCGCTACCTTCGGAGATCGGTCTTCTGCATGACCTTCAGAAGTTGATCCTACAATCCAACCAGCTGACTTCGCTCCCCCGCACAATCGGCCATCTGACGAACCTAACGTACCTCTCCGTCGGTGAGAACAACCTCCAGTTCCTGCCGGAAGAGATCGGAACGCTGGAAAATCTCGAATCCCTCTACATCAACGACAATGCCTCGCTGGTAAAGCTCCCCTACGAGCTGGCACTATGCCAAAACCTGGCCATTATGAGCATCGAAAACTGTCCCCTGTCGGCGCTGCCACCGGAAGTGGTCAGCGGCGGACCAAGTCTGGTGATACAATACCTAAAACTGCACTCGCCCTACCGACAGATGTGATTTGTTCCTGCCGCGTAAGGAGAGGAATTGTGTATACATTTGGTTGTTTTCTCTGCGATTTGGTTGGTTGGTTAGTTGGTTGGAGAATTCGGGGTGTGGAAGCCCGGATGGAAATTTGTTTGGTCTCGCGCATCGTGCGGACAAGAAAGGAAAGAAGAAGAAGAAGAAGAGTTGCATGCAAAGCATGTGAGAAAAGCCCCACCGGCGAGCCGGCTTACAAGCACGTGGGTGGGAAGAAACACGAACGAAATTGTGTTTTTGTATTGTTTTAGTTTTCGAACGAAGCAGAAAAGTTAGTAAAAAACAACAAATCAATGTGATTAAAATAAAGCTTTAATAATATTGCTATTTAAGGAAAGGCAAATAAGCAAAACACACTAACAAAATGTTGAAAAAGCGAACAAACAAAAAAATCGACGTTGTATATTGAGCAAACAAAAAAAAAAAGAAACGTTAAATTTAAGCTGAAAAGAGTTGTAAAGTTGGTGTATATCAATTTATGGAAAGATTTGAACGCACGCTGCTAGGCGCAGGAGTAGTTGTAAGCAGTCCCGGCATCCGCCGCCATCAACCAAAGCGACCAATGTTTCCGTTACAGTGGAGGTAAGGCGTCCTACAGTTCGACTTTAGTTTATCTTTAAATTATGCCACTTTTGTCACAGAAACCATCCATCTTATGGCGGTGATCGAGAGGATATCAAATCCGCAACGGGACTGGGGTGGAAGCTGGTGACGACCACCCAGCATGCGAGCGATCGTGGATCATCCCTCGCTGTGTGAGCAGCAGACGCAGAAGTGAGTGAGAAAGAGAGGTATCAAATTACTCCCCAAACATGGGGGAAGGGGGGTCATTTTACTGCGAACCAGTGTAGTGTATCTTTTAGCCAAATAGTGTAACACACATAGAAGGATGTGTGACGAAGTATGAACAAACAGAAAACAACTAACGCATAAGCAAATCAATATATTTTTTTTTTAGTTTTTTTAAGGAGCTTATTTCGTTGGCACGAAAACCCCCCAGAAGGACGTCTGCGTGAAATTTGATCTCAAAATTTAGTCCGTTTCATTTTGTTTGTAGGGAATATTGTTGCATGTAAGACAGACGACTTAGGAATTTTTGAACCACAATGACAATGAGCAGAGAAACGGGAAGCCAAATTGGGTAGCGTACCGAAAATCGAGTTGATATTTTTTTTTCAGCCGTAGGAAAATGACGTCTTTGTTGTATTAGTCGGGATTCTATAGCATTTCTTACCTACTTGATGTTTAGTCCAAGGGAAACGACATTCATCCGTTTGATATAGTTAACGAATGGTGTAATTTGCGTTTGCAGAATCTTGAGCATATTGAAGTATCTTCTTCTGTTTAGATGATTATCTGGAGGAATTCCCCAAACGAGACTGGTAATGTGTTCGTTTCATTTGGTTAATCATAATCGAACAAAAATCGGACCTATAGGGTGTTCCAGAAAGTATAAGCACAGTCTACTATTGGAATAAAACAACGTTATTTTAATGAACTAAAACTCAAACTAAGTCATCATTGGAGACGCAATCCAATCAGAGTAACCTTTGAATTAAATATTTGTCACCTGACGATTGCTCCCTAAATAATTTTCCAATAACAACCACTAAAGATCATTTAGTACTGGACATAACAATTGGCGACGAGGATTCAAGAATAATTGCTTCGGCAGATCTGTCAGGAAGCTATTCTTTAGATGGCGGCGCACCTACAGAAGCTAGCGGAAACAGCTCAAACCGTTAGTTACCCGGAGCAAACACTTGAGGCCTTGCCAACGAATATCAGTGAGTTTTCGTTCGATCCGGAAAATGGAATCACCTTCAAGAAGTGGTACAGTTGGTACGCAGATCTCTTTGATTCGGAAGCCAAGAACCTGGACGATGCGGCTAAAGTACGACTGCTCCTGAGGAAGTTGGATACACCGTCACACACCCGGTACACCAATTACATTCTGCCGAAGGTTCCAAAAGACGTCGAATTCGCTGACACAGTCGAAACCCTCAAGAAGGCATTCGGATCACAAACTTCAATCTTCAACAAGCGATATCAGTGCCTGAAGAAGACATTATCAGCTACGGAGGTAAGGTCTACCGTGCTTGCGAGGATTTCGATTTCAAGAACGTGAAGCTTTACCAATGAACCACTTTGTCAAGTAGTTTTACCGTGACTTTCTACCAGCGATTTCACAGAAATTGGACCAACAAATTGCTATTTTACTATGAAACGCACTACTTTTTGCTACTTTTCTCGTGGTTCTAGATGAAAAATCTTCAAAATATTGTGTTATTTTGAAGTTCGAGTGGTCATTTTCAACTGCTCGAATTAAATGGCTAATTCAACTGCTTGGTGTTCGTCTGCGGTCTCAAAAGCCATTGCTACGCGGACGTACGAGCCAGGCTACTCTCCCGGATCGAAGCTGGAACACCAGAAGCTTCCGTTCAAGGCGGACACATCCATGATCGAGCATCAATCAAGCTCAAACCCAACGCAGCACAGGAGAAGAAGGGAAATTCTCGACAACAGCAGTCTTCGAAGACGGAAGATGTTCGGGATTGTCCATTCTCGAATCATCAGTGCAAGCAGTGTATCGGGTCACAAGGAAGGCTACTGTGGCTGCCACTCCAAACCAAAATCAGTTCAAGCTGGGGAGAAGAAGATGTCATTAATCAAATCAAGCAAATCTTGGAAGCTCCAAGAAGAGTTGCGACCTGTCACAATCACGATCGCCAAACAGCTGATGGTAGTAACGCTTTGTACATTCCTATCAATGTGCTCGTCGAAGCTCTCTCCATGACCATCCATCAAGTTGACGAAAGAAGTAAAAAGCAACTGGTGAATGTCGTCTTCTGTTGTGATCCATCACCGATCTGGTCATTCCCGACAATCACGACACTCATATGTGCTCGTTTTGAAGCAGTTGCTGCTTTGCTTGCTTATGTGAGTGTGTTGGTGAGTGAGCCCAACAGCTTCCGTTTCATGTTGCCTGCTTTGTTTGTAACTCACACAGTCGCGCCTGCCGAGACGAACTTGGAATGCGTAGGCATTGTTTTCATTTTCTTCTGTCGTTTCGCTTTTTCTCATGATCGTACTGCAGAAGTCTTAACTGTTTTCGTTGTGCTTTTCATCATCAGCAGCGAGTGTAACGTTTTGCATGTGAGCAACGACCATTACTGGTGATTGTTGTTTGCCATAGCTCTAACTCTCACTGCGTGACAAAACGATCTGTCAGCGATAGTCGGTTGATGCAAGAACGAGTGTCACGTGAGTGTCATGATATTTTGCATCACTGGCTCCAAGGCGTATACATCGCGAATCACATCGCTCAACACTCCAGCAAGCGGAAGTACGTGCCCACTTTCATCAACGGCTTGGCAACTAAGCTGCAACTGGATACGGCAAGCGACATCACGGTAATTTCAAAGCAAACCTGGAACTGTCTGGGTAAACCTACGATCAAGAAGCCGACTATTGAAGCAATGAATGCGTCGGGCAAGTCGCTCCATATGACGGATGATTTCCAGTGCGAAGTGAGCATCAATGGCAAAATTGCTTCCTCACAACAACGGCTGCCAACCTCAACCTACTAGGCATCTACGGTCTACTACGGTCTGCAATCAAGTGAAGACGATATCGATCCATCAGCAAGTTCGGGAATGCTGACGAACCAGCCCCAGGCTGAAAGCCTCCCTAATAAAGATAAATAATAATAATAATAAGTTCGGGAATTCCCATGCCAGTTCCCTTCAATACAATTATTCCATTGGTCGATGCCGAACTGACAACTGGTTGGAAATGCTAAACATCATCAAGCCAGTCGACTTCTCCGGATGGCCTGCTCTTATCGTGGCGGCACGAAAGCCGAACTGCCAAGTTCGCATCGGTGCGGATTACTCGACAGGACTCAATGAGGCATTGTAGCCTAACCATTAACAACTCAACTCAATGGCAGCACCGTTTTCAGCATCATCGACCTTTCCGATGCGTATATGCAGCTCGAGGTTGATGACGATTCCAAGAAGCTACTAACGATCAACACTCATCGTGGTTTGTTCCGGTTCAATCGCCTTGCTCCAGGAGTGAAGTCAGCACCGGGATCGTTCCAACGCTTGGTGAATGGAATTATTGCGAGAAAGGACATGGAGTCGCATGCAGCCTCACTCAATCAACTTTTCCAACGACTCAAGGAGTAGGGTTTCCACGTTAAAGCAGAGAAGTGCCGTTTCTATCAAACACAACTCCGCTACTTGGGGCACATCGTGGACGCACAAGGCATCCGTCCAGATCCCGAGAAAGTGAAGACCATAATTGCAAGTCCACCTCCAAGTAAGATCTGCGAATAACGGTCGTAACTAGGCAATGTCAATTTTTATGGAAGATTCGTGCGCAACTTACACGAATTGCGTCATCCGATGGACCAGCTGCTGAAGAAAGAAACAACGTGGCGGTGGACTTCCGAGGCTTTCGCAACACTTCAATCGAATTTACTCCTGCCGCATTACTGCGGAACGCAATTATGGAGAACCTGAAAAGAAGGCACACTTGCGTTAGTCTATGCTGTGACGACATTCCACGAATATTTGCTCGAACGTCATTTCACGCTTCTGACCGGACCACAAGCCACTGCTGTCCATCTTCGGTTCTCAGAAGGGCATACCGCTACACACTGCGAACAGGCTGCAAAGCATGGGCTCTTAAAATGCTTAACTACGACTTCGCTATTCAGCATGTATCTACGAACGATTTCGGATGTGCAGATTTGTTCTCCCGACTGATCGACCAAACCAACCAACCAGAGGAAGAATTTGTAATCGCAGCACTCACCCTGGAAGAAGATTCATCAAGCATTCTTTCCGACACAACAGAAAAGGTTCCGGTGTCCTTCACAGCCTAGGCTAGCTACTCTCCAAACTGTTGCTAAGTACATTCGTGACGGTTGGCCTGTCTGCATCAAAAATTCCGGTGTAGTTCAACCCTAGCCTAGTTGACGGGTGTGTGATGTTCCTCGACATGTTTCGACGACGGATTTTGCAACAATTCCATCGAGGTCATACAGGAATCGTACGTATGAAAGCAATAGCATGAAGTTTTGTTTACTGAGCTGGTATCACTGAAGAAATTGAGGATTACGTCAAACGCTGCTGGCAAGACACCCACTAAGACGACGTTGGAATCGTGGCCCATTCCTTCTAAACCATGATCCAGGATTCACATTGACCACGCAGGTCCAGTAGATGGAATCTACTTCCTAGTAATGGTAGACCCCTACTCCAAATGACCTGAGGTACACACAACCAAATCTACGGCATCGAACACCAAGCTGCTGAATCAATCCTTCGCAACGTTCGGCGTTCCAGAGGTAATCCGGGGATCCAAAGGAATCCGCCATATTCGCATTGCTCCGTATCATCCACAATCAATCGGGGTTGCCGAAAGATTCGT